CACCGTTAGGCTCTAGTGATTATGTGTACCAAGTTTCATCGAGCTACGTTCAGTATTTCGCGAGATATTCCACGCTCACTGAATTTGGAATCACGCGGCCGTGAGAGAGGCCGCGTTTTTGTCCGAGACGTCGTTTGTTTACCATCGTATGTGAGCATTAAACACCGCAATGGAAGTGAAACGTCCGAGAAGGGAGACTTAAATATATTTCGAGCGACAATGTAACTGGACCATGGTTGTGCACTCGTAACTTTGGTTACAGATAAATGGAATTCTTTAAACAATTAATGAGATAATTCAATTATTTTGAAATACCAGGACGAGTAAGCGGTAATGTCGGCATATAAATTGAGCTTGTAGAAACTATGATTTTCAAATAAAAGTGTATGGCATGTATTACGTAGAATAAACTCAATGACGAAAGAGTGAATGACATTAGCGATTAGGCACCAGTAAGAATTTCGTTTACCAGATAACAAAATTACTATTATTCACAGTTGTTCCCACAATTATAGAATACCTAACATTTTTCTTTAACAAACAAACAGCGATAGTTTCACAAGACAAATTCTGACGTTTTTTTTTTTTTCTTTAGTTGGGATTTATGGGAGCCTCTGAAGACTTGTTCAATGCGGCCCCACGTCAGAACAGTTCAAGGAATTTGACGGAATTTTGTTTTTTCAAAGTTTGAGGAGGATAGTTCCAGAAAGATGACGTAGCAGCCGGCCGAAGCCGACTACTGTCACGGGAGCTCAGCACAAACAACCTCCTGCCTCAACGGTTAGAACAGAACTCCAATTCTGACGTTACGTTCACGCGACGAGTATTGTCAATTTTTTTCCTCTTCTATTTTTACTAGCGCGCTTAACACCAGATTTTAATGGGTTTTACAGGCATAATTTCGTCAAATAGAAACCGATCTGTACCTAATTTACAACTATGCTATTTATTGGATGTACGCTCATGCGAGCGTTGTCAAAATTGGTTTTGATTATGCAAACCTATGCGTGGAAACCCTGTTATTGAAACTCGTCCCAAATATTAGTTCCAAAAGTTTCGAAGCGGCGTACTGATTCACTTTGTCATCATTGAGAAAAAAAATACCTTTTTTGAGAGCTGATTTGCCCACGTTTTCGCGTGAATTAACAAATAATTTTTATGTCGACAAGTAGGTATTTCATCCCACTACAACCATAATTCATCACTTATCATGTTTTCTGCCAACATATAATGACGTGTTTCCCGTTCACTCAAAGCGACTTCATCGTACAATGTCTAACAATAATGATAGCCCACTGGGCAGGGTGGTTCAGTTTCAACAGTTCAGAGTACCCTGACTGAAGCAGGAAGTTGTGGTTTCAATCCCAGCAACCTACAACAATTCTGGTCAATCGGCGAGGGAGTCGGGCAGTTGAGCACCACAAAAATGGAGCATTGTGATGCGTTTTTGAGACAGCAAAAATCTGTGAATATTCTGCGATGGTGAGGTTCGACATGCCTAACGGCCTAATGAACGCTGACAAAGCAATACTATATCTATACATTGTTACGTCAATACTTTGCAACGCAAATATGTTGCAATGACAAGACATTGTAATGACAATGCATAGTAAATGCAATATATTTAAGGCAAAGCTCAAAATTTGAATATTAAAAAGTCTTCTATATCGGTAATTTTGTAAGTTCAAATTTTTTAACATCATGACAAGAGACCTATAAAGAAAGAAGCTCGTTATAAAGGAAACTGAAATAAAAAATATATATTATATATAATAAAAATATGGGGTGTTGCTTTGATCCGGTCGCGCTAATGTGTAACTGTTGGTTACAAAGTCCAACATCTGTAAAAATTTACGTCTGAAACTCACAAATGCAAATAAAAGATTTTACCGATTAGTAGTGAATTTGAATCTAGTTTTGAAAAAGATTAAAATACCAAAATCACTGAATTCTGATAATCGTATCATTAGAAATCATAGTACCTATGTATAAACTAGTACGGACCGATAGAATTGATTTCGCAAGAAATAATCAATGGGCTGCTGGGAATTTCTTATTTACTCGATAATGCATGATCCTTCATATTCGTATTGAACATTAAAATAAATTTGAATATTTCTATACCCAAGAATGAATATAGTTTGAAATTATATCTATTCTTCACTCTTTCAGTTAACAACACCGGAAATGCTGCACATGTAATATTTTACACCCCAGAATGAATTTAGTGAAAATAATATTTATTGTTTACTATATATAATGTAAAAAAACAGAAACGCGGTACGTGTAATATTTCACACCGCGGAATGAATATAATGAAAATAATATATATTCTTCACTCTATATAAGTTAACGATAAAAGAATCGCGGTGCAAATATATCTACACTCAGCCGCAAAGATATACATAAATGCTGCAGACCGCGCCGGAACACCGTAAGCTAGACCAGTTCCGTACTGTTAAACGATATGATAGCGTCGTAAGTCTTCAGCCAGTTCTTAAACATATTCGCCCTAGAGCAGACAGTTCTGCATCTGGCTTATACTAGTTGTTTATAGGTCACCAAGTTTTTAGGTCAGTATAATTATTGCTACTTTATGTTGATCGAATTTTTTTACATTACACAGGCCATCAACCGCATTTTGACGCACCTGGTTATCGCCTTCCAAAAACGGCTCCAAACTGGGATGGATTTTTTCCTGGGCTTAATGCATTAATGTTTAGGAAGTAATGGATGGCAATATTAAAACTGAACTCTATCATAATCCCATATACCGATATTTGCAACATTTATGAGAGTTTTACGTGTTTAAAAATGGGCACGTTTTATTGAATAGAATAGAAGTGTCGGCATTGAAGAAATAGGCCCATGGCCAGTTGCCGTGAAAAGTTCGTGAGCTACTAAAAAAGTGTAGGAGTGAAAAAGTTCGTGAGCTACTACCTGAGAGTTTGGCTTTTTCCCTATCAAAGAAAAAATCACTATTAATATACGATTTAACAACCTTTTATGGGGCAATGTTTAAATGAATCGTAATTTGTACTTTTCGGAAAATTTCTTATAATTTTATATCACTGCAGTTAAAACGAAACCATTAACAACCCTCACATCTTTTTCAGTGAAGTTTTCTTATACCATCGAGTATTTTTATTCTCCCAATCAACAATGCTATGTGCATGGTGCATTCGAAAAAAAAAAATCCGAACGAAAATTCAGCATTAGCCATGGTTTAAATTGTTACATAGAAAACTTCAGCAAAACAAACTACATGAAGACGTCATACGATATAAATAATAATACATAAATGAACGAGTATGACGACACAGTATCCAGGCTGTCGTGGAGCATCGTGTAGCTGCTCCGAGAAGCCGCTACGTGCGAAGTGGAGGATACACAGTCAAGCGATCTGAATCTGTAAATAAAAAAAAAATAAAAATCACAGATCAGGTTTATTGTAGACGATAACGGGATCATCTTCATCGATAGGCAGATTCACATTTACGCAATTGTCAGAATTCAATGATCACACAATCTACAAACTCCGAACCTAGCAATCCATCAGTTTGAACAAAAAAAAACACGTAGCCTATACTTTAGAATTCAACGTCTCGTCCTCTATGGAGAAAGCCACGCATTTTACAATAAAATTAAAATAAAAGCTCTTAAATTTGTTATTAGAATTTCATTCATTGCAGTGTTTTTTCAATGCAATGCCGAATCGAGAATTAGAAAATTTCTTGATTTGAATCTAGGGTACCGTTGGTGGCAGCGCGTAAGAAACTTGATGACCCACACACATGGGTTGACTCGCCAAACAGGTTACAGAACATCCCACCCGTTTGGCTGCTGTACCTAACGGTTCGCTGAGCTACTTAACTGACAACTATGGGCATTGGTTGTGCGTTCTTTTTCGTCTTCAATGTTTAATATGGGAAGAAGTTGCATGATTTTAGACCTGAGCCATCGCAATGAAACATCGTAGCTCACAAAAAATTCACATGTCATACAGACAACGCAAGGAACTCTGAGCAATGCTATTGATACTACCTAATCTTCATATATCTACGAATGCTTAAATTTAAATGGCATCTTATAATATTCAATACCAAAAAATTAACAATTAAAGAAGCTGAAATGCATTTGGATGAACCCTCAAGTAAAGCCATACTCAAAAATATTGTGAAAAGATAATTTTGATTCTAATCAGAGAAAATATCATTTGGAACATAGGTATACTTGAATCTGGAATATTTTCCCAACAAAATAAAAATTTAAAATTATTTACCAACCTTTAAATTTTTTGTAAATCTCCTTTCAATAACTTGTGGTAGGGATGATCGCTCGGTTTTACGGTCGTCTTCAATGCCGCTTCTTTTTGCAAATCATCATCATTTTCGGGATCATTAATATATGGGGCATTCTTAAGTTCACTGTCGTGATGTTCATGGTGTCTGATGACGTACACTTTTTCTTTGGTTCCATCTGCATCCGCTGCTGAACCTCCGAGTAGCTCAGGCATAACGTATTGGTAAATTCTTCTGGCATAGTCGAAGTATGGATGAGAGGAGTGAGCGATGCTGCGACCGGAAACACGATAAGCGCCCGCGTTCATCAGCCTCTCCAGTTCTTCGGGTGTTAGTTCCGAAGGGTGAACTATCCTTACACCGTGGTCATAGCCACTGAGATGGGATGAGATTCCTTTTCTTGAAATGGGTTCGGGTGCCAGAGAAGGTTGCATGTAGTAGGCGAGTCCTCCCATAAAGATGGCCGCCCCAATAGACGCAATCATAGGAAAACTGAATGAAGAAAATATCCCTTGCTTGCTTTCAGCTACTTCATCGTGACGTTTTTCAATATCGGTTGTATCACTGTGCCTTTGAGGGGATTTTTTTAGAGACTCTTCCTCAGTTGCTTTCTTGACAGAATTTGATGAAATTGGTTTGGATGCTCTAACGGTAGTTGTAGTAGAAGTTGTTGCGGTGGTAGTTGTTGTAGTCATAGGGGTAGTAGTAGTTTTAGGGGTTGTAGTAGTAGTTTCCGGAGGAGTACTAGTTGCTGGAGTTGTTGTAGTAGTAATTTCTTCTCTTTGCTGCGGTGGGACATAAACAGGACCTGCAGCAGGTTTCTCTGTGGGTATTCCAGTTCCCGGTTGTAGTTTTACTGCAGCAGGTCGTTCTCGCTTCGGGAGGGCGAGTTGAGCGAAGTTTTCTGCTGATTCTGGGGGAATTTGAGCTATCGCTCCCAGAACGATTGACAACAACACCAACGCTGATAATTTCATTTTTGATTAGTTTCTAATTTTTAATTCTGGGATGAAAACAAAATATTTCTTTGTAAAAAAATCACTTGATTATCTATGTTTCGTCACTAACTGTATGCAGGTTGTTAGCGTTAGCCAAGTCAAGCAACAAAAACACTCATGCGGAAGCTATCATCAGCCACTGCCAAACTGCATGCGTCCTGGTCACCTGCTGAGCGCTGAATGAGGCCGTGTCTCGGCAGCAAGCAATGCAACGGACTCCGGGCCGGCATATGTAGAACAAATTTCTGCCTTGGGGCTTCTAAACCGCTTGGTAGATCGCACCATTAGAACCGTTTTAAAGCGTGGCAAAGCAGCACTCCCAATATAAATGTAGAATATCATACTACAGTTCAATTGATATTATTATATTTTTCTCTTTTTTAGCGCATTTTCTCATTTATGAAAAAAATGCACTATTGTGCTCGCCATGTCCGTCTGCCCGTCCGTCTGCCCGTCCGTCTGTCTGTCCGTCCGTAACTTCATGTTTTCGTCGACGAGAAAATGCGCTCTTTGTCACTCACTGCGGTGAGTACTGAGATACATTTTTTTGTATGAGGAAGACATGTTAAGATTGCGGGAAACATGTATTTCACAGTCAAGTTGAATTTGACTTTTTTTATTTGTCGTAAGTTTCATTGCATATTTTGGATCGTATATTAAATCACAGACGTATTTACATGGTTAAATTAGCGCATCGATCGAACCGTGTCGTGAGTCTGAATTGTTCTAAATGGATGACAGCCATATCTCATTCTAAATGCGAAACACTCGTTACACTCCATGCCATATTAAACAAAAAGCACAAAACAATTTCATTTAATCCCGCAAAGCCTGGTGGGTTCATTACTGGCACAAGTGACAGCAGCTGTTGTGTCGCAGCCTCGCCCTAAAGTTGCGGCAGCTGTTTCGTCACAGCCTCGCCCTACAGTTGCGGCAGCTGTTGCGTCACAGCCTCGCTCTACAGTTGCGGCAGCTGTTTCGTCACTGCCTCGCCCTACAGTTGCTGCAGCTGTTGCGTCACAGCCTCGCTCTACAGTTGCGGCAGCTGTTGCGTCACAGCCTCGCCCTACAGTTCTGTTGCGTCACAGCCTAGCCCTACAGTTGCGGCAACTGTTGCGTCACAGCCTAGTCCTACAGTTGCGGCAGCTGTTGCGTCACAGCCTAGCCCTACAGTTGCGGCAGCTGTTGCATCACAGCCGATACCCAAATACAGGAGATCCTTTGTGAGTTTTTTTTTTTTGCATCTAACACCCCAACTTGGTACAAGAATTCAACTCGATACCTAGTCTGAGACAGGAAGTACTGCAATAACACAATCATGGTTCGATTTTAAATTTGAGGAAGACCAAGTTTTGTAAGAAACACCGTGATAATTTTATTTGTTGAAACAGGTTACCATTTAATCAAATATATTTCAACAAACTAACAAATACAGTAGTTTTGTATTTGTATGAATCAACAACCTGATAAGAATTAAGATGAGGATTGTAAAGTTTAGATTACTCTTCAACAATAAAAATAATTTAATTTCAGCATCAAAATAGAGAAAAATTTTTACATTCTTTAATCGATTATTGTACAAAGATTAAATACATTTTTCCTTTTTAATTTATTTGAGCATGAATCCAAAATGTTTACCTTCAATTAAATTCAGCCGTTACGAAAGTTAACACTTGGTTGCGCCTAAAATCATATTCATGGGCTGCATCTGAAATCTGAATATATTTATGTATTTTGCATAATTAAGCAAAGTTTTGCATGCCTCACATTGTGAACGCTTTAATATCATTAACTAAATCTTTGCTTTTGTTCGCAGCAACCCGCACGTTGTTGTTCATTCATCCCAGCCTTTGCATATGAGGCAAGCTGAAGGTGCAGCATTTAATTTATAAAAGAACTCCTGCCTGCATAATTATTCATGAATTAGAAATTTTCGGTAAAGTGTTATAGGTCAATATTACTATAGAATGACTTCATTGCCAAATTATTATGCAGAACATTTCAAACCCTAGTGCTCACTTCCCAATAAGATTTATTATTTGTAAAATTTCGAAACAATCGAACCCAAAACGTAAAATAGCTGCTATAAACTACGATTTTGAAGATTATGAAGTTGTTTTATCTTGACTTGGACCGCTAGTTACATCAAACGTAATTAGTTCTCAACTTCTCGTACGTCCTCGAAACAGTTTAGTGTCATTATACCTATTTTGATAGGTGTTATGCCACATGTAACTTACATTTGCTATTTAGTAATAATAGGAACAATAATAGCGGTTTCAGCGTTTAGTAGGCCGTAGACCTGTCGCCGACTCTTAACAATGCTCAGTAACGTTTGTATATTCTAAGGTATAATATATTTAAGTCCCCTATCGTTTGATCATGTTCACAAGCAGATATCGCTTGTGTTCGGTTTAAGATTATAGTAATATGCTCAGTAAATTTTTTGATGTGCTAAGGTATAATATATTTAAGTCTCCTGTCGTTTGATCGTGTTCAAAAGCAGATATTGCTTGTGTTCAGTTTAAGATTATAGTAATACGGTGTCACGTTTTGTGAAATCTATTGCTCAGTAACGTTTTGAATATTTTTAGGTATAATATATTTAAGTTTCCTATCGTTTGAGTGAGTTCAGAAGCAGATATCGCTTGTGTTCAGTATTAGATTATAGTAATATGCTCAGTAAATTTTTTTTCTTTTGTATATTAAGCTATAATATAATTAAGTCTCCTGTCGTTTGGTCGTGTTCAAAAGCAGATATTGCTTGTGTTCAGTTTAAGATTATAGTAATACGGTGTCATTTTTTGTACAATCTAAAATATAATATATTTAAGTCCCCTATCGTTTGATTGCGTTCAGAAGCAGATATCGCTTGTGTTCAGTTTCAGATTATAGTAATATGCTCTGTAAATTTTTTTTATATCTTACGGTATAATATATTTAAGTCTCCTATCGTTTGATCGTGCTCACAAGAAGATATCGCTAGTGTTCAGTTTAAGTTTATAGTAATATGCTCAGTAAATTATTTTCATATCCTAAGGTTTAATATATTTAAGTCTCCTATCGTTTGATCGTGTTCACAAGCAGATATCGCTTGTGTTCAGTTTAAGATTATAGTAAAATGCTCAGTAACGTTTTGAATATTTTTAGGTATAATATATTTAAGTTTCCTATCGTTTGATTGAGTTCAGAAGCAGATATCGCTTGTGTTCAGTATTAGATTATAGTAATATGCTCAGTAATTTTTTTTTATATATTAAGCTATAATATAATTAAGTCTCCTATCGTTTAATCTTGTTCATAAGCATATATCGCTTGTGTTCAGTTTTAGATTATAATAATATGCTCAGTAAATTTTTTCAAATCGCAAGGTATAATATATTCAAGTCTCCTATCGTTTGGTTGTGCTCAGAAGCAGATTTAGCTTGTGTTCAATTCTAGATTATAGTAATATGCTCAGTATATTTTTTTATATGCTAAGCTATGATATATTTAAGTCTCCTTTCGTTTTATCGTGTTGAGAAGCAGATATCGCTTGTGTTCAGTTTAAGATTATAGTCATATGCTCAGTAACGTTTTGAATATTTTTAGGTATAATATATTTAAGTCTCCTATCGCTTGATTTTGTTCAGAAGCAGTTATAGCTTGTGTTCAGTATTAGAATATAGTAATATGATCAGTAATTTTTTTTATATCCTAAGCTATAATATAATTAAGTCTCCTATCGTTTGATCCTGTTCACAAGCAGATATCGCTTGTGTTCAGTATAAGATAATAGTAAAATGCTCAGTAACTTTTTGTAGATCTTAAGGTATAATATATTCAAGTCCCCTATCGTTTGATTGTGTTCAGAAGCAGATATCGCTTGTGTTCAGTTTAAGATTGGAGTAATATGCTCAGTAACGCTTTGTATATTCTAAGGTATAATATATTTAAGTCGCCTATCGTTTGATTGTGTTCACAAGCATATATCGCTTGTGTTCAGTTTTAGATTATAGTCATATGCTCAGTAAATTTTTTTCATATCGCAAGGTATAATATATTTAAGTCTCCTATCGCTTGATCGTATTCACAAGCAGATATCGCTTGTGATCAGTTTAAGATTATATTCATATGCTCAGTGACTTTTTGTATATTGTGAGGTATAATATATTAAAGTCTCCTTTCGTTTGATCGTGTTAGCAAGCAGATATCGCTTGTGTTCAGTTTAAGATTATAGTAGTATGCTCAGTAACGTTTTGTATATTCTACGGTATAATATATTTAAGTCTCCTATCGTTTAATTGTGTTCAGAAGCAGATAGAGCTTGTGTTCAGTTTTAGTTTATAGTAATATGCTCAGTAATATTTTTCATATTCTAAGGTATAATATATATAAGCCTCCTATCGTTTGATCGTGTTCAGATGCAGCTATCGCTTGTGTTCAGTTTAAGATTATAGTAAAATGCTCAGTAACGTTTTGAATATTTTTAGGTATAATATATTTAAGGTTCCTATCGCTTGATTTTGTTCAGAAGCAGATATAGCTTGTGTTCAGTTTTAGGTTATAGTAATATGCTCTGTAAATTTTTTTATATCCTAAGCTATAATATATTTAAGTCTTCTATCGTTTGATCGTGCTCACTAGCAGGTATCGCTTGTGTTCAGTTTTAGATTATGGTAATTTGCTCAGTACATTTTTTTATATAATAAGATATAATATATCTAAGTTTCCTATTGTTTGATCGTGTCCACAAGCAGATATCGCTTGTGTTCAGTTTAAGATTATAGTAATATGCTCAGTAACGTTTTGTATTAAGGTATAATATATTTAAGTCGCCAATCGTTTGATCGTGTTCACAAGCAGGTATCGCTTGTGTTCAGTTTTAGATTATAGTAATATGCTCAGTAAATTTTTCAAATCCTACGGTATAATATATTTAAATCTCCTGTCGTTTGATCGTGTTCAGAAGCAGATATCGCTTGTGTTCAGTTTAAGATTATAGTAATATGCTCACTAATTAACATGATAGAATATTCATAGCTTGTTGAGGTCTCGAACTCGCAATTCACTGCTACAGTTCTGCTGCTGTTCATGACCGCCCGGCCTTCTAGCTTGCCGATTCTGTCTGGGCTGGATTATCGAAACTTCGTAACTTTTTAGCGCATTTTCTCATTTATGAAAAAAATACACTATTGTGCTCGCCATGTCCGTCTGTCCGTCCATCTGTCTGTCCGTCTGTCTGTCCGTCCGTGACTTCATGTTTTCGTCGACGAGAAAATGTGCTCTCTGTCACTTACTACGGTGAGTACTGAGTTACATTTTTTGTACTTATGACAAAAAAGTTACGTGTTACGTAAATACACCCTAATTTTGGCATCATCAAAACTTTCGAACGCAGGACTTGCCTAAAAGCGTATTATCAAAACTATTTGGCTAACTGACCAATAAGCTGAGGCTTTGGATTTGCTCTTCCTATATATTAAGCTCCTCTCGACCAGTGCGCAGTGCGCTTCGGACGAAAGCAAGATGTGTGGTGTCAGCGGCATTTGCGGTGCCTGATTAGGGTGTATTTGGATAAATGAGTGAGACGTTATCCAAATAGCAATGCACTTGTTGTTGTGATCATTAACCGAAATTTCTTGCAATAAGGGCAAATAAATGCATTATTCCCATTTAAAATTGGAAAAAATTTTTAGAAGGTTACAGAGAATTTAGAAACTTTCGTGAGTTGGAGTTGCGACTGTCATAAAAAGAAATAAATTTGTTTACAGAGAACTGAAAAAATGGCTCTTGTCAACCTCAATATAATTTTGAATCAAAAAGGCATTAAGATATTGTTCAAGTGAATGATCATAAAACTCTTAAATATGAATATCAACATTTGCTTGTAAATTATAGCACAAAAAACATTTCAATCCCGAAAGCACTGTTTAGCAGGGATGCATGCCAGTGGTTTAAAGTGCGTGTGGTGAGATAGGTCAATTGACTACAGCTGCTTAGGTGCCAGGATGACAATATCTATAGCATTTAGATGATTGATGTTGGCTCCAGGGCTGATTTGAACGTTAATTTGCTGGTCTACGGCTGCGCATCCAATAGCTTTATATTGCTTCGGCACACTCAAAACTTGTGCGTAACTCCACTTACGACACCTCCGCGCAGGCGTAGAGCTACGTACGGCTTCTTGTACGTAGCTTCCCGCCTAAATGTTTTGATAATACCACCGCTAGAGTTACGTCATCATATCAGCACTCGTAATCGACTTACGTCACACGGGGTACGCAGCCGTGCACCACTAAATTTGTGCACCAATCAACCTTGAAAGGAACGCCTAGCATATTTCCGGATGACCGCCAATCAGCCGCGGATTAAGCCATCCGTCGGTAACCAACCCGTGACATCATCTTGCTTTAAATATTAGGAGCTTTACGCCACCACATTCTGAAGCGAATAGCCCAGAGAGTAATGGTTATGCACCACTGAACGTTGCACCGAATCATCACTTCATACCCTGACTTTAGCTCGAACTGTAACTTGCGGACAACGGACTGCGACCAACCAGCCCGGTCGCCTGTGGAACTGCGTGCATCCTGCCGTGCACCACCAGACCGTCACTTTTAGCTCACAGCATTGGGGTTATGTTTCAGAAAGCATAGTTCTGTTCCAAAATCTATCGTCCTTCGACGAGCGACTTCTACAGCTTTGCTAAATTACGTAACTTTTAGCTCACAGCATCTGGGGTTAGGTTCCAGATAGCATAGTTCTGTCCCAAAATTTATCGTCGTACGACGCGTGGCCGTTCGACCCTGGGCTGATTCGACACACGGGACAGATACGGTCATACGGACGGCTCGGTGGCGTACGTCAAAATCACTGCAAGGCTCCGGCGCGCTCCGTCCGGTTGGTGTAAAATTTTTTCGCGTCTTGGCGGACGACCCTGGGCCATACGACGTCAGGCTTATTTTCCTGTGGGCTGATTGGTCTAATTCAATGGATGTGATCTGTCTGGTGGCGCGCGGCTGATAATGTTACAGTAAAGAAGTGTTGTAGGCTACGTTCTTCAGGGAAGGGATCATGATAGTCCATTCGAAGCACGGCATTGTGGTCTCCGACAGGCGTCCCATTTGACACAGTGACACACGGGACAGATACGGACGGCTCCGGCTTGCTCCGCCCGGGTGGTGTAAAATTTTTTCGCGTGTTGGCAGACGGCGCTGGGCCATACGACTCCAGGCTTATTTTCCTGTGGGCTGATTGATCCAATTCAATGGATGTGATCGGTCTGGTGGCGTGCGGCTGATAATGTTACAGTCAAGATGTGTTGTAGGCTACGTTCTTCAGGGAAGGGATCATGATAGTCCATTCGAAGCACGGCAGTGGTGGTCTCCGAAAGGCGTACCCACAAATTTAGTGGTGCACGGCTGCGTACCCCCTTATATACGCTAGTGTTGCGCACAGTTAAGCCTATACAATACCCTCGAAGTGACGCCGCATTCCTCGAATGGAATTTCCCTCACGCTGGGCTTGCCAACGCTCGATGTAAACAAACTTGGTCCCTGAAGGTCCCAACTCCCACGGTCTCGAAACAGCAACGTCTCATACTTGTTACATCGCTTCAACCCGCATTCTTAACACCTACACATCATACATGTTCAATATTACTTACTTTAATCACCAGACCTAGCTAGTATCCTATTCTGTGCAACCTCCAATTTATCCAGTACACTGAGTTCACCATCATTTAATTGGGAGCGCAACCATGGGTAACAAAATTGACTCGTAAACAGGCCCTGGGGCCTGGGCCCAATGCCAACCATCGGCATGCAATATCTGCACATGGCCGCAGATCAATAAGCTGTGGGTAACTCCGGCTAACAGTAAATCCGCTTTACACAACACAGCCACTGCTTCACAATGCCAGAGCCCAACTGGCCGGAGCGCAACAGGCGGCGCAGGTTAGGTCAAGTTATGTTAGGAGTAGTAGCTGTTGCGGTAGGGCCTGTTGCTCTCCGGCCAGTTGGGCTCTGGCGCTGTGAACCAGTGCCTGTCACTGAACGGCGCTGTTGTGGGCGCCATGTGTCAAAAGCCATGAAGATGCCCAGCTGGCAGCTGCGTTATGCTCGGGAAGGTATATGAATCGCACTGTGGACTTGGGCTATGCTGACTTCTAGCTATCCACCCATTTAATTTTCATGTAATAACCTCCATTCCAATTTCCGTGTATAATCCTAATTCATAGGCACGGGCAGTTGGGCACCACCATACTTCTCAAGTTCTCTTATGGACTGTGGTAGAACATCATATTTACTTGCTCTCATCCTTGCTGGCGGCTCACCACAGACCAGTATTCTGATTTCTGAAAAACTGATTTTCATTACAGTTTACTAAAACTCAATGCTATAGCCCTCTCACATCCTTTTGAGTCAACACTCATTCCTATTTCGGGCCTTCCTAAGTACCTATATTCATTTGTCATCCCAATCACCTTTCCTCCCAACTGGCAACTGCCAGCGGCAGTTTGGCAGTCTGTTACGTGTCATACAGGCTGCTGCCTCCTGCCTGTCTGGCAGACTGTGTGTGTCATTACACACTTGACACTTACACATCCTAATTCCTAAGGGTAATACTTGAAAGCTGTGACCCACATCCTAAGACCTAAGCTGTTCCATTCACAACTAGTCAGTCTACCAGCCTTATCTCCAATGTACAAGGCTGAAGAGGAGCAGAGACAAAATATACCCTTGTCAAACACCTCTCACACTCTTCACTTCATCCAGATAGACCAGATCCAGTTTGTCTCCACATCTTCAACTTCAAGCATATATTTGCTTCATTGCTTGAGTGCTTAGTGTTTACATTATTACATTATTTACAAACACACCTTTAAGTTATAAATTATAACTATCCTTACATACTTTTCACTCATAATAATTTTTTCCAACATCTGTCAGATTAATTTTCTATCCACTCTATCATATGCTTTTTCCGTATTCATGAATGACAAGGACTCAAGGAGACACTCCTTCCATCTCTCTTTATTCTGTCAATCAATTCATTCACAGCAAAAATGTTATCTTCAGCTCTTCTGTCACTCCTAAAACCCTTCTGCTCCTAGTCCTCACCAAGTACTCTTTCATTGTTTCATGCTCCATGCATTATTCATATTTGCAATTTGCTTTCGCTCATTTAGAACTGCACAGAAAAACTTGCTACACGTGTCAGCAAGAGCAATTGGCCTTTACTTTTTCAATTGCCAATCAACTTTAGTTGTAATTAATTTCAAATTCCTGATAATTTTCAAGAATCTAGATTATTTAACCCTTCCTCAGGTAAGTGGATCGGCAGACTGGTCCCGGTTTTAGTCAGTACCTCAAAAAGACCAACCATGGCTCCTACTTTTTTGTTCAAGGCCACATTATCATGCCTCAAAGGCTCTGCTAATCGCCAATTACCTGACATAGTTCCATTTATAGTAATATAGTTTTAGTATCACACCCTAACTGCCTAACATGCCACCCAATAATCAAAATATGAGCATTTAAATGAAAGATTTGACTTGGACCATAAAATTGACACTTCTGTTTTTTTTAATGCAGATAATGCAAAATTTTTTTAATTAATTAATTTAACTGAATGAAATTTAACGAAATTGAAGTTAGAAAGTTACTATTTATATTCAAATGGTAAAATTTGGATTATATTTAATTTTTCCTAAGTAATGACTGTATTTAATTGATTCTTCAGAAGCTAGTTACTCCTTTAAAAATGCTATGTTTAGGAAAATACATGCAAGTAAATATATCTCATGATCATTCATACTTTCTTGTACTGGTTTCATTAACGGTTTCATTAACTTGAATTTCTGAATATTTTCATGCTTGTCTGTGGAAGGGTTAATATCTTATCTTTAAATACACTGGTTATTGGTATAAACGTATAATGGTTTCCATGGACCATGATTCTTAATATACTGGTCTTTTTGTAGGATTCAATGTAACATGTAAGATGCAACTAATGAGTCTCTTGTTTGCTACTATGATTATTTGAGGCCTTAGGTTATATGTTACATTATTTTTTCACATGGAATTTGATAGGCTTGCCTTTGATTGCTTTGAATTATTTTTAATATAATTTTTTGTTTTCAGAAATAGGTGCAATGAGTCAGAGTGAAGCCTACAATGATGCTCATCGAAGCTTCTTGCAACTCATAGCTGCCAACAGGTTGCTGACTGCACCTAAAGTTAATGCTGCTTATGAGGCTGCTTGTTCAAAATATGGAGGTTAGTTGAGTAAGCCTAATGTTGGAAAATATTGATAGTTTCATGGAAACTAGATAATTCTGACTACCAGTTTTTTGTTTATTTTTTGAACATATGTTATTGATGCAAGCCAAGCCCAAACTGCATTGATAGCCTGGTAGGGATAGAAACTTGAAATTGCCAACCTCAAATATATTGTTAATCAAACTATTGTCTATTGATTGAGCCACATTATTTCAACTGAACTCAATACATGTGACTGCTGTGTGCTATCTGTGTAATTCAAAACTGTGCCATTCTATAATTTATACCTATATCTGGGATTCTATATTATTACTGTGGACATGTTCAAACTTTTTTGCTGTTCCGTTCATGCTTATTCACTCAATTTTTTGCCATAGCTGAAAAGTGAACATACAGCAAGTACTGCTGTCTAATTAATGGGAAACAATTCATTTTTATGACCAATATAAAATTGCCATAGTTAACAATATCTATAATTTTTCTTTCTAATGTATTTATGACGGAAGCTTTGTGTTCATAAAATCACTTTAGTATTTGCTTTGATAAGGCCAGGTTGCCCTGTAACTGATTCTTGACCACCTGTCCACCTTGTTGCTTTTGACCAGAATTGACCACTGAGCAGAATTTTGACCAGAATGCTCTAAATAAGTGTGGGCCTTGAACCCGCAACTTGCTGTTCTAACCTTAATGATCTTAACCACTTGGCCCACAATTTATTATCTTGATGTGATTTTGGAGAAAATTGGAAGGCAGCAAAAAAATATGCGTTTAAATATTACTTTTTAAAGACAACACTTCTAAACAATCCAGTGTCTTGGATGTAACACATGTACAATGAATTTCGAAGTTTATTTTCAAAAATAAAAAAAATTATTTTTCAAAATTTTTTTAAGATATCAAAATTGTGTAAATTTTCAAAATTATTTATTTTGTCAATTGGTTCATGCATTGTCTCTGACTTTTTGCAATTGTGCAAAATTTCCGATCAATTGGACAGATCAAATTGTGTCATATATGGATTACCCTATAAGATTTGTAGGAGACAAAATTATTTTTTAATTTTATTTAATAATGAAAAAAATTTTTCATTTATAAAATTATTTATTCTGTCAATTGATTCATGCATTGTCTCCAGCTTTACGCAAGTGTGCTAAATTTCAGATCGATTGGACAGGTAGAAGTGTGTTAAATATCGATTATAAGATTTGTAGCAGACAGACAGACGAACAAATAAGAAGTGAAATTAAAGAGGAGTGTTGTAAAATAATATACGTTTAAAAATTAATTTTTAAAGACAACACTTCTAACAAATCCGGTGTCTCCAATGTTACAGATGAACAATAAATTTCTCATTTAATTTTTGAATATTAACAAAATTAATTTTTCAATTTTTTTAATATATAAATTTTGTTTCAAAATTGTTTATTCTGTCAATTGATTCATGCATTGCCTCCGACTTCACACAAGTGTACTAAATTTCAGATCAATTGGACAGGTAACAGTGTGTCAAATATCAGTTATAAGTTTTCTAGCTGACAAAATTATTTTTCCAATTTTTTTAATACCCTATTGAAAAAAAAAATTTTTAAATAATTTATTTTATCATTTGATTCATGCATTGTCTCCAACTTTACACAAGTGTACAAAATTTCAGATAGATAGGATAAGTAGAAGTATGTTAAATTTTGATTACAAGATTTGTAGCAGACAGACAGACAGACAGACAAGAAGTGAAGTTAAAGAGAAGTGTTGTAAAATGGAATAAATTTGACTCAAAAGTTGTGTCCTGTGCTGGACTACTGCAGTTCGTTTTATGGTAAAACCATATTTATTTTATAGTAAAAGTTTATTTCCATTAAATAGTGTCTTGTTATGACTTCTAATTGAAATTGTTCCAAAGTTGGGAGCTGTGGTGGACTACAGCAGTTTGTGATGGCCATTAATGCTTCACTAAGCCCCCTGCATCTGATCATAAAGAAGAGTGTGCAAGAGGACCTGAGAGAAGACAAGTCTTGCTTCGTCCTTGTCAACACCATCTCGTCTGATGTTTTGAAGTAAGTCAGTTCTTCCCAACTGCAAGTATATAAATTACACTTTTGGGGTAATTTCTTTATTGATCTCTGGTGGAGTTCAGACGTCAAAATGTCTTGAGTTACTTAATTGTTAAATGATTTATTCGTATCCATTAATCATTTAGGAAAATTAACTAAAGGTGACCACATATTTTGGCATGTTTATTTCATTAGGGGTGAAACTGTTTTTAAACCATTGTAGTAAGGGTTTTTCACTCTATCTATACTTTCCCTGAGTGCTGGCGTACGTAAAAAATAGATTTGGTGTTTTTTTCAAACATTAACTGAATCTTACTGCGCTGCTTTTGAGTTATTAATATATTTTGTTTTTGGAATATCGAGTGTTACTCTAGTGTACCGGTATTTCATTCATAATCTTGTCAGTTGTAATACTTATATTTAATTATCTTTCTTGTGTATATCACTATAATTTATGCCCGAACAATTTGATGAACATTGTATTGCAACAGAGGTTTGTCATCAAGAAGTGCTTGGGAAGACATGTTATTAGAGCGCATCATCTCAGGCATCGTTGAGAGCGAGGAAGGCTGTATTGCTGAAGTCGATGCTGTCAACATGGGGACTGGACTGCAGGGCCACAGAGTGACTGCGTCTGAGAGCGAGGCGGCCATTGCTAGGATGATCAAGTCCAAGCTTATAATAAAGGTACTCCCATTTATTGTTTAATTTTGTATTTTTTCTGTTATGTAGCTGCTATGAGCGCAAAGTATCGCAATTATTTAATTTGTAACTTTTGCACCTTTGTTTTCTCTTTAGTAACTGTAGCGTAGAATATTATATGACACGTGGTTATTTCTGTAGTAATGATAAGTGAGTTTTTTTATTAAGCAACGTCTGCCATTAAAACACATCTTCTGTTTTTGTTAGTTTGTCTGTCTGCTACAAATCTAATAATCAATATTCAACACACTTCGATCTGAAATTTTGAACACTTGTGTAAATTCGGTGAGAATGCTCGAATAAATAGACAGAATAAATAATTTTGAAAATGTAAAAAATATTCTGTTTAATATCAAATAAAATTTTAAAAAATTTAATATTAATAAAAAAATTCATTATACATCGGTAACATCGGAGACACTGGCCTCTTTAGAAATACTGTCTTTAAAAAGTAATTTTTAAACGCATATTATTTTAAATTAAATTCCATGCAACTTTGCAGCATGATGACATGTTACTTCTAAGCGGCCTAACGCTGTCTGAGCAACAGCAGCAGCTGGAAGCTAACTTCCCTGATATTTGCGTCAAATGCGTCCTCTGCAAAATCATCACCCTGCAGGTGAACTTGATTTCATTCTGATTTTTCATTTTTATAAGTTTAAATTTTTACGTTTTATCTTGTGGAACACTCGACTTGATACCAATGTATGACTGTTTCCTCATATTCCATAAAAAATTTGCGCTGCTTCCATCTTGAATTATATACAGCATTCCAGAAGCAAGAAATCGTGAATATTGAATCAATTTATTCACATTCAAGGGCTACAGCTGCGATCAGTGCAACAGTCGAGTACATCGAAGCTGCGGTCGCAAGCTATGGCGCAAAGCCGAACGCCTGCCATTCTGTCCAGGCTGCAACGCTGTTTGGCCTCGCGTGAACAGCGTCAGTGCATCAGGTGGAGAGTAGCGAGCTCAGTAGAAACTCGGCAATCTTAGTGGCAAACATCAGGCATCCTAAGTCATTTTATTTAAAATAAAAAAAATGCCCTCAAGTGTAAGAGTGAAGCCATTTAACAAATCGTTATCTTTTTTGATAGCATATAGGCTTGTTAATTTTAATTGGTATTGACAGTCTGTCATTTTTAATTTTCTATTGGGGTAAGCAGCACTAAAATAAATCGTTCATTGGAAAGTAAAAATTGAATTCAGCTAAATTTGTACTTAGCGCGGCAGATGTTTGGGAAAATTTTTTATGTATTTTGGATAAATTTTCACCCCCTTTTTTTAATCTCGATTAATAGATTATTAGACAAATTACTTCTCTAAGCAAATGAACAGTTATATGATATGTTATGCAAAAAAGTCTAGAATATTGCTCATGGCTTAGGGGGGATATTGGTTATAAATATAATAAGACAGAGAGCTTCTGCTTCGTTCGCTTTGAAAAAAACTACCTTGACTATTAATTGTAGTGGACCTCGGTGTATTATACATAGGACGACCTATAATCTGTAATATTTTTTGTACGTTCAGGAAATAGATTCCTATTTGATAAAGCGTTTTTTTCTTTCTAATTCGAGTGGATAGGATTCGAAAAGGATTTCATTAAGCAATTATGATCCGTTAGAGAAGTTTTCTGACTTGTGTCTATGCTTGTAATCAATGCTGCGGAATTTTGCGTTCCTATCAGCATTATTCCGAGCACCGCACCATAGCTCGCAGTGAGAGACTGCTGGTTTCAGTGTGTGGTTGTCATTTAGTCAGACCTCGCATCTCTTTCAAGTCTTTAGTGCGGGCGGCCGACGTATCAAGCAACCACGAATGTCTTCGTTTCCGTTACTATTCACCTATCCCGTTTTCTACCTTTATCTCTTTGAGAGAATATCGCTAATCCTTTCTCTCAAGATTCGGTAGTTGGCTCATTTTGAAACCCTACTACTCTTGCGAATGGTGAACGATCCAAATTTTTGGTATTTGGGTGCGAAAAAGCTTAGCTCAAGCGTTGGTCATTGTAGTACTACTACTGAGAGTGAGAGGTGGTTAATGTTCAAGGCGGTTTTCGCTCCTCTGAAATTGTCCTTAGACGATGCAACGCTACATTCCAGACAGATTAAATAAATTCTAAAAAAAATTGTGAAAATCTCGATTTTATTACAAATGTGCCGAAAATTTCGAGTATCTGACCGAGGGTACAAAATTCATCACGAAAATAACTTGGGACATAACCGTTTCGACCATGAATGGTCAAAACAATCATTGGATTCGTTTCTCGAGTCGAATGCTAGTCCTTACTCGGAACAAGATTTGTCACCTGAGATCAATTAAATTCTAAAATTCTTATATTAAAAATTAACAAATTGGGCTCAGATGCAAATGACTCATTACCATAAAATCTAATTTACGACATCGACCATAGTCATGTGGAGAGACCGAGAGAAAGTATGCGACCGTACTTTGGTAAACCAAATAACTTAGATAAATGCACCCGCATTTCTAGCCTTGTAAACTCAATCCATATAGGGAAATTACTTCACACATAATACTTGCAACGCCAGAATGTTGCCGAAGGAACGTAAATGAGATAAAGCTAGGCCAGTTGATGAGTGGCGTATAGCTGAAGAGTAAAAACTGAGATTTCATTACTTCACGGAATTTGAACTCCCAAATACGATATTAAAACTACGATTGAATCAATTGAAAGATTAAAGAGGCAAAACTGGACATCGTAATGAGATACTTCACGTTAGTAATTTTTTCAAAATAATGAGAAACAACAAAGCAAATTACAAACCACTGCAAAAATGTATTTTTAGCAAGAACTTGAGTGGTAAAAATTTTTTGATAAGACAAGCATGAACAATACACGATTTCTGGGAAATAGATATGAGAAGCACCAACATTTACTGATGATTTTTCGAGAGAAATTCCGACTATTTCCATACAGATGACGGATATTCAAGCTTCCTGTGGCCTTGCCTTATAACGAATTAAATTTAAAACATCGTTTATTTTGAAGATGAGACGTCTGTTTTCCGCGGTGAGGCGACGAACTTCAGCTTTATCTTCTTCGTTGTCATTTCTACTCAGGGCCTGCAGCTTGATGTGCATCTCGGCAGTCTGTAAAACGGTTGTCCATGTTTAAGATTCTGACGACTGTCTAAATATAACAAATTCACTTTGAAAAGACACATAAGAAAAATTGGAATTTAATATAAAATATATACTATTAAAAATGAATTAAATAACAGAAAACCAAATATGAAGTAATCTACGTTTTCAATACTTATATACCTTATAAAAGGACCCAACATCACGTACATATGCATCATTTGTGCACTAAAATCTTGTGGAGTTCAAGATTGGTTTCTTAATTGTTGTCCCATGCCAAAATTTAACTGTCAATCGGCACTTTCGGTCAGCTTTGATTTGGATTTGAAGAATCGTGCTAGTTCGAAGTGTAAGTCAAAGAACGGTATATCTGATTTGAAAGTAGACCAACGAAAGATTTCCTCTGATGAGGGCAAGGCTAACGTTCTTAATCAGTTCTTCAGCAGTGTGTTCACAGATGAGGACTTGAACAGTATTCCAGTGTAGCTACTTCAAACTATCGCCAGTCATGAAAAGATCCGGGCAAATAACACGATATTAGATCTTCTGTGAACAAGGCACGAAAAGGAAAAGAATCGGCGACAGGCCACATCAGGCCTACACTCCAGCGCCGACATCACTATGTTATGTTAATATCATTTACCATTACAACTGCTGCCTGGTTCACGTGGTTCAACTGGAACAGCTTGGTATTCATTTGGTAACGTGATCACTGGGGTGTTAAAAAATAAAATAGTTACGAGTTTTTAACCCTTTTAGCCAATCACTGACGGCTTTTCGAGCTAAACCCATCAAACAATGACGAGAACGTGTATTTAGGCTGCACGTTTACGCTTGTTGCAACAGTTAAGAGAGTTTTGATAGAAGGCCCCAGGTACCAAGCCTCAGTGTCACTATTTATTGCACTGACTTAGTAGAGTTCAACAAAAGAACAGCCACTATATGAGAATTTGTCCACCTCATTCCCAGTCATTTATTTCAAAGTGGAAGATATTGTATAACCGAACAGACAGATACGTAGTACTCCAGAATTCCTATGTTCTTTGCCGTACATTGAATTCTGTTCTTTCAGAATTCCTTTTGTATACTAATTTTAGTGTATATATATATATATTTTTTTTGCGGCCTGCCAAGTACCAAGGTAGGCCTCAGGCTTGCATGCATCTATGCTTGTCTACCATTAATATGCTCTATGCTCCGTTAAAATTATTTCTGCAGTTGCGCTTCAAATTTTTCAGAAATAACAACTGTTTAAGCCATTTTGGACAGAGAATTCAAATTCTACTAAGCCTAAGTTGATAAGACAAATAAGGCAACAAAGACAGTTTAAACAGAACCCAAAAATGAATAGTATTTCTTACATTGAAATTATACCCTTTCCTCAAGAATTCATTACATATCTAAAATAAATATATAGTAATACCTAGAGGATAAAATCACAATCTCTGTCCATATTTCATTTGAGTTGGCACGAAATTGTTAGGGTTCCTCTTGATTGTTATGAAATCTTGGAATTGATGCATAATAAAGGCCTTGGACAGAAATATATGGCAGATAGCAGGGTTTCATACTTACCAGTTTTAATTTCATTTGCTCAAGTTCTTGGAGATCTTCACAATACTTTGACGATTGAAGGTGGCCGGCTTCTTTCAGCTCCTTGCTAAGCTGAATAATTGCCAAGGAAACTGTCTGGAAAGTTTCCGTGATTTCCTTCATTGTACCTTGAAAAGCACAAAGCTGTTTCATCTGCCTGAACTCCCTCATGCATCTGAAATAGTGAAATATAATTAGTTACAAACAAAATTACATAGCATGACATACATCCAACAAGAACCATCATGTTTCTCTGAATAGTTTCAATGTTGTTAATAAACTGACTTTTATCTGAGCAAGCATGAGAGTTTGAAATTTTAATTTTAAATTGGGAATGGATAGTAAAATCTTATATAAGACGCATTCCATTTGAAAAAAAAAAATTTCATACCTCTGTCAATTTGATAGTTCTAAAGTTGAAATGTGCAGTATTATGTAAAACTTAATATTTACACATGTTGGGCTGAAATAATGGAATTAACAATTCAATGGAATCGGTAGCCAGTTTGCCGATTCTGTAGAATCAGCATTTCATTGCTGATTCAGAAAATCAGACGTTAGAGTTAGAACATAAATCAACAGTTGGAGTTGGAAAAGATTAGGTCAAGTTTGGTCATGTTCCCTTATACCGTAGTATTTAAATAAAAATTTTTTTTTGGCTGACTGACCTAACCTCAGATTCCTATAGTAGTATAGAAATGCTAATACAGAATTGGCAAGCTGGCTGCAGATTCCATAGAATCAGCAACTTTGCATTTTGGCATGACATACCTACATAATGATTCATCAGACTATAACATGAGCAATTCCTAACATTAATTTTTGCAGTTGTGCTCCAAATTTTTCTGAAATAAAAAATGTTCAAGCCATTTTGGACAGAGAATTCAGATTCCACAAAGCCTAAGTCTGCCTGCATAAAAAAAACACAATATTGACAATAAAAAATAATATGCATTTAAAAATTACTTTTTAAATACAACACTTCTTAAAGAATCCAGTGTCTCCAATGTTACACATGTACAATGAATTTCTATAATTATTTTCAAATATTAGAAAAATTAATTGTTATTTTATTTAGGTACCTAGGTATAGGGTAAACGCGGTATATTCCGACACTTTAAGGACGCATTGAGAAATGAAAAACTATAAAAAAAAACCGTATGCGTTATGTAAGTTCTGTTGCCTTCACATGACTTTCAAAACACTTCACTACGCGTCAGCAACAATGAAACGTCACAAAATGTTGCCATATTTATTAAAAAGCCTTTAGAATGGAAACATACCAAATCCCTATATTCCGTCATTTTGTGTGGCAACATCCGACACGTGGTGAGTTGTATTGCGTCAGCGCTTCAAATTTAACTGATACGTATTGCCGACATCCACGTGTTCGAATTCCGTTTGCTGTGTGAGCTGTATTGGGA